ATGTAAAAGGTCAAAGGTTTTGAAACCAACATGCAGGAGACCAGTCTTTACAATGGAAACTGCATTCCTCATGTCAGCTCTGGAAGAGACATCTTCTTCATCCTACTCCTACCCCTCCTCGCTAGCACTAGTACTCGCACCAAAGCGCTCTTGTACCTCCGCAATGATGTCCTCATCCATTAGGGGCTCTGACACCGGAGTGCTGTCATCACTTTTGATCCACTTATTAATTATTTTTGCACGTTTACATTTATAAAATGGCAAAAAGTGGACACTAAAAGCAGATTTCATGATTACTATAAACAAATTATTTAAACAGCATTTGTATAGAAATGATTCTGTCCCAGGCCTTTATATCTATATAAGGTGTTGATTATTATATCCGTGACCACTATAAGCTGATTCCACTGTAGTTTGACTTAACTTTCTTTCCACTGTGAGCCTACACTATATGCTTAACTGGCACAATTGGAGGGAGAAAAGTTGAGAACTCATCTGAAAATGCTAAGTGGCAAGGAAATGTGTGTCTATTCATGCTTATGTTTTAACATTATCTTGCCCAACTCTGAAAAATCAATTGTATAAAAAAGGAGAGAACCATGGTGGTTGCGACTCACAACCTTCTCTGTTCTGAATAATTCCCCGTACTTATTGAGCTGTTAGGATTATTTTTATGGTTCAGGTTTGTGCCTAATAAAACCTGCATGTTAATGTAAAGACTCATGTTTTTCCAAGCTGTTTATTTAATTAGGACAAGATTTGGGAATGTAATGGGAGCACAGGCAGAGTGGATAATTCTTCACAGGAGATATTTCTCACTGTGCCTCAGAAAGGCCTTAAAGGAATAGTACTCCCAAAACATGATTAGCCTTCATTTTCTACTCACCCCCATGCTGAACAACACTCTGGAGTACTTTTTTGATATCTCAAATGCATCTAGAGATCTGGGAGGCTTCTTGCTGTCTGCTGACATTCAAATAATGGAGGTCTATGGCGCCCGAGGCAGAAAGGTCCATAAAAGTCCACAAAAAACGTGTCAATATTCCTCCATACTGCTCGTCCAATGTATTCCAAGTGTCCTGAGTGGGTAGCGTCCAGAATTTACTCGAAACGAAGTCATTTAGAATGTTTTTAGAGCATAAACAGTAGGGGTGGGTATTGCCAAAGAAGTCACGATTCGATTTGAATCACGATTCACAGGCCACGATTCGATTCTATCACGATGCATCACGATACTTGAATTATTGCGATGCATTGCAATATTTTCTCCTCCATGTTTTGTTTTTGAATGACTCGGCGCAGTAGAAATGCTTGTGACACAAGGCAGCATGTGTCAACACATCCGCAGCGACATCTACTGGACTGGAAGTTGTATTATACTTGTTTTTGGCTGATGTTCGCCAACCATTAATGCAATTTTATTTATTCATTTTTTTAAATTAATAATCGATACTTGGCATCAAGAATCGATGCAGTAGATCACGAAAATTAGAATCACGATGCATCATCATGACGATTATTTTGCACACCCCTAATAAACAGTAGTGTATAGGATTTCCTGAAAGCGCGCTCCCGCACGTTCACGACGCTACGGAAGCCGGCAGACCAACCAGATGAAAGTGCGCATTCAGCGTCTGCTCTGCCAATAATGCAAGTGTAGAAGAAGAAATGTGCTGTTTACCTGTGCAAAGAAAGAAACAACGAAAGAAAAATGTCTGAGGACTTCAGTGTTGAGGAAGAGCATGAGTTCTTTGCCGAGCTGAATGCGCACTTTCATCCGGTTTGGTCTGCCGCAGTTTCCGTAGCGTCGTGAACGTGCGGGCGCGCGCTTTCAGGAAATCCTATACACTACTGTTTATGCACTAAAAACATTCTAAATGACTTCGTTTCGAGTAAATTATGGACGCTACCCACTCAGGACACTTGGAATACATTGGACGAGCAGTATGGAGGAATATTGACACGTTTTTGTGGACTTTTATGGACCTTTCTGTCTTGGGCGCCATAGACCTCCATTATTTGAATGTCAGCAGACAGCAAGAAGCCTCCCAGATCTCCAGATGCATTTGAGATATCAAAAAAGTACTCCAGAGTGTTGTTCAGCATGGGGGTGAGTAGAAAATGAAGGCTAATCATGTTTTGGGTGTACTATTCCTTTAATCTTAAAACGCTGTACTATTTTCATATGGCTGTAGCCAGGGATGTCTCCTCATTTACAAACGTATGATATAATGATGTGAAGATGTCGCAGGCTGTGATAATGGAGTTCTATAAAATGCCTCTTTAACCATTATTTGCTATTTGGTACTGCTGCTGCTATTTTGGACTCTCTGACAAAGCGAACCTGATGGTACCGTCTTATCTGTGCAAATCTTCCGGTCTGTGTAGGATTACAATTATGTTTAAGTTGCTGTCATTTGTTCTTGTACTTTAATACATAAAGTGATATTTAAAGTGTTTGCTCAGAGTGATTTCTTGTCAGGAAAGAATCGGGAGAGAAAGCTTAAAGATGTAAACACAAAACTTTCCATTCCAGCTCACATTGTAGACCAGAGGTCACCAACCTTTTTAAGGCTTAGAGCTACTAAATGGGTACTCAGTCATTCGAAGGGCTACTATTACTGACCTGAACTGCAGGGGTCAGCGTTCAATAACACTACATACATAATAAACATATTTTTGTTTCCTTTAATTTCAATTTTTTTTAAGGTCATTCTGTAATCTATAAATGCTCTAAATGATTAATAAAATGAAATGCTCTATAAATTATTAAAAAAGAAGAGCAACAGAATAAAATAACATTTCAAACTTTGTTTACTGTTTCAGAACAACCTAAGGGCCCCCATGTGGTCCTTGAAGGCCCCTTGGTGACCACTATTCTAGACAAATAACTCTGTATCACCTTAGTGATTTTAGCTTTAAAATGTTATTGATCTGTGTTTCATTCAGGGGATTGTGATTAAATGGTGACATAAATTTTCAAAATCCCCTGATCATGTGAATTATGTTTAAGATTCTAAAATGTGAGATATTTTTTCTTGTTTCCTCTTTCAACAGAGTGGGGTCACCTCAATAAAATTTTCAGAAAGTAGGTTCTGCAGTGAACCTGTTAAGAGTTTAAACGATAACCAAATATTTTTCTTTCTTTTATTAGAGAGTTTGGAACAAAATATCCATATTTAACACATTGGTTGCATGGAAACGGTCAACCTTGAAGAAACGTTTTTGTCACTCGACTCCAACAGAACAGCTAGAAATATTTCAAACCAATTATATTAATTACATATCAGCGTTTGGATCATGCAAAAAGACAGCCACCTTCCATCCATTTTCCATAATGCCTTGTCCCTGCTGGGGTGGCGAGGGGTGCTGGTTCCTATCTCTAGCTGTCTACGGGCGAGAGGCGGGGTCCACCATGGACAGGTCGCCAGTCCATCACAGGGCAAACAACCATTCAGGCACACACTCACTCCTAAGGAGAATTTAGAGAAGCCAATTAACCTAACAGTCATGTTTTTGGACTGTGGGAGGAAGCCGGAGTACCCAGAGAGAACCCACGCATGCTCAGGGAGAATATGAAAAACTCAATGCAGAAACACCCCGGGCCAGCAATCGAACCCGGAAGCTTATTGCTGCAAAGCAGCAGTGCTACCCACTGCTCCTCGCTCCAGCTGAACACAGCCAATTAACTTCGAACTAGAACTTTGTCTAGTTTTAGTCCCTTTTAGAGTGGGGGAAATAAGTATTTGACCCCTTGCTGATTTTGCAGGTTTGCCCACTTGCAAAGACTGCAATGATCTACTTATACTTACTTTTACTTGTTTTTCCTCATCAGATGGTTACCAATTTTAATAAATTCATATGATGTGATTTTCTGGAATTTTCTTTGGGATTCTGTCTCTCACTGTTAGAATGTACATACGATTAAAATTATAGATCGTTGCATTCTTTGTAAGTGGGCAAACCTGCAAAATCAGCAAGGGGTCAAATACTTATTTCCCCCACTGTATGTTGGACAAAAAACAGCTAACATTTACACTTTAACAACCAGATTATTTACCCGACTGACAGCTCTAGCCCAGATATTACAAGTGCTGGGTATAGAATGCTGCCGTACAGTTCATCATTGCTGTTGTGCAGAAAATTTTGATTTATAGAATTCAAATAAACATTTTATGAATGAATACACTACTTTATACAAAAGTCTCTCACAAAAGTTGTGAAAATCGCAGATCTAGTTCCACACATTGTGATTCATTTAGCAGACACACAAACTGACAATATTTACATAAAGGAATGGTTTTAGTCATATAGGGTTTCGAACCTAAAAGCAAACACTTCCTGATCTACTATGAATTATACATTAGACACAGAAAAATAAAATCTTCATTACTCCAAAAAAAAACAAAGAACCAAAAAATTCTTTTACTTTGGTAATTGTGGCTTTATTTCTAAGAATTTACCCCTTGGTTACTGATGCTCAGGAGTCAAAGTAGATTCAAATTCACAGGATTTTTCATATAAAAAAGAGACACAGATAACCTAAATAATTGCCTTATAATGCCATGGCAATTCGGACCTAAATTTCAAGAATATGTTAACTAAAATGTTGAAATATTAAAAGAGATAGAAAAAAGAACTATGAGAGAGAAATATTCAAATATCTATGTACCTTTTCTTCTGGATCTTTATCCAAAAATAAACAGTATGCAATGAAATATGTGCTTTAGATATCATTTATGGATTTTTTTTTTTTTGCTGGAACACATTAAAGTCTTAATAGCATCACTGATGCTCCTGGAGTGCATCTAGTAAAGTGTCACCAGATGCGTCTGATACTTCTGCTGCGCCTGTGCTCAATAGCAGAGTGTGGCTTTGCTATATTTGCTCTAAGTGTGTAAAAAGTAGTTTGAATATATTTGTATGCAGTCTCTGCAATCAGTTCATCAAGATTAGGATCCAGCCTTAAAAACTTTTTTCATTGTCATAGCTGTGCAAACCTCTACATGCTGTCACTGGGAATCCCCAGCAGCAGCTGCCTAAGGCCCAGTTTTTCTCCTACTGTTCATGGCGACTGGAAGAAGATATCGGAGTATTTCAGGTATATGGTACAAACTGCAAGCACCACAATATTAAAAGCGAACATATTTGCCAGCAGGTTTTGACATTTTAAGTTAATTTAGGCACTAATAAACAGTTTCCGGGGAAGTCTCATAACCCCTGCATTGGCACTGCTGTGTCTGTCTCCCTCCCAGCTCACAGATTAGCTTCGCTGATTGGTTGATGTGGTGCATTGAAAAAAAAGCCTGAACTCAGATAACACTTGGGGCTCAACTAGGAGACGGAGCTCTACTGAGAAAGTTCTGTAGCTTCACTTGGTGTGGAAGTGACATGACATTGGACGATTTTGTTTGCTTGCATCAAGATTCTCTAAAAATGGGTTTGCATCATTATCATTCGTGCTGCTGCACCTTTCTAGCAGGGATGCGCACCGGAGCCATCGGATCTGCTTGTTTCTGTCTCAAAGGGACATGTGCTAGTAACCTGGCTGGAGTCATTGTCTTAAAGGGATGTGTATTTATCGTTCATTTGGATTGCTCAGACTGTAGCTATGTGGTCCAGTAGTGTTTGTATCACAACACATAGATGCTGGATCTGAAGATCTTCAGACCCAACCAACAAAAAAATGTCGTTCACATGAACGTAGATAAACATCAGTGGAGCTACTTTGGGGAGAGTTTGTTCATAATAATGTTGATATACTCTAAAAAAAAAAAACTGGTTTGAAACTTAAGTAATAAAACATTGTCAAAAAATATAATTTTGAAACTGGTCAGAAATAAAAGTAAGAAAGAAATGTACAGAAAAAAATAAAGCTTAACTGAGGAGAGCTAAATCTGAAAAATCAAGCCATCCATCCTCTTCTTACCAGTGCTGATAACATTGAGCTTGATCCTATCTCTAGCAGTCTGTGTGTGGAAAGTAGGGTAAACCCTGGAGGTCATCTAAAAAATATATCAACTGAAAAGTAGTTTAAACATTTCTTTAATGGTTTACAATATGCTGTTTTTCCGTTCACACAGATTCTAAAGCTTTGATGATAAAAGTGGAGGTCCAAATCTCACAGGGCGACAGTGGAGCATTGACTGGTCTTTTATAACTTGTGATTGTGAAGTCAGAGCTGCTTTGCATGGTGGAAGATGTAATTGCAATCATTTTATATGTACTTAGATCAACACAAGGATGACTGAAGGGAATTGTCCTTTCTTTAACCTACAATTGAAAGTCTTTCTACTGTGTTTTTCTTTCCAGACCACCTTCAGGATTATGTTGGAAATGAGGAGGATTTCTCTGACCAGCAGCTCTGTGAACAGAGGAATTCCAGTTCGGGTCAAGAGGAACCAGAACCTATGCAGATTAAAGAAGAGCAGCAAGAACCAGAACATCCTTGGACCAAAGAGGAAATCGTGGAGCTCCCCATTAGTGAGCAGGAAGAGCAGCTTGTTCTGAAGCACGATAATGAAGATACAGAGGAGAAACCTTTTCCATGTTTGACATGCCAGGAAATATTTCTGAAAAAAGAACATTTAATAGATCACATGAGAAATCACACAGGTCTTAAGATTTGTGAATGTCTGTACTGTGGAAAAAGCTTCACTCAGAAAGCTGAACTTGATAAACACATTAGCGTTCACACAGGTGAGAAGCCTTTAGAATGTTTGTCCTGTGGGAAGCGTTTCAACTTTAACTCTGAACTTAGTAAGCACATAAGAACTCACACAGGTGAAAAGCCTTTCTCCTGTACAATTTGTTACAAAAGTTTTACGCAAAAAGTTCATTTGACTTCTCATATGAGAACTCACACAGGTGAGAAGCCTTTCAAATGTCTGTCCTGTGGAAAAAGCTTCAGCTCTCAGTCTGATCTTAATAAGCACATACGAATTCACACAGGTGAGAAGCCTTTTGAATGTCTGTCTTGTGGAAAAAGCTTCAGCTGTCAGTCTTATCTTAATAAGCACACACGAATTCACACTGGTGAAAAGCCTTTCAAATGTATGTATTGTGGAAAAAGCTTCACTAGTCAATCTTATCTTAAATCACACATCACAATTCACACAGCCGAGAAGCCTTTCAAATGTCCGTCCTGTGAAAGAAGCTTCAACTTTAGGTCTGATCTTAATAAGCATATAAGAAATCACACAGGTGAGAGACCTTTCAAATGTCTGTCCTGTGAGAAAGGCTTCAGCTTTAAGTCTGATCTTGATAGGCACATAAGAAATCACACAGGTGAGAAGCCTTTCAAATGTCTGTCCTGTGAGAAAAGCTTCAACTTTAAGTCTGACCTTAATAAACACATAAGAACTCACACAGGTGAGAAGCCTTTCTCCTGTAATGTTTGTGATAAAAGTTTTACTCAAAAGAGTATGTTGACTAGGCACATGATGACTCATGTGAGAAACATTTTTCCTCCATGACAAATTAAATAAATCGAAAAATGAGTCAAAGCAGTTCGATACCACAGGAATTAACAGCAGAGGCCTTTTCCATGTTAGACATCGGATAAAATGTCCGTGTAGAAACTCCTTCTCCTCATTACATGAGAAACTCACAAGTTAAAGCCCTTTTCTAGCTTCTAGGGAAAATGTTTCAATAACAGTAAAAGCAATTTCTACTCTAACAAATGTCTTTTTCTTGCATTATCTTCTGTGGTGGATGTTTCCTATTTTTGTAATTACTACTACTTGATGTGACAAACATAAATAAAAACCACATGGATTTAAATAAGTTAAAAACAATCATTTTCCATGTTTTCTCTATTTATTAGACAACCTAATTCTGTAATATAATTTTGTAAACGTAATAAAATGTACAGAGGACGACTAACATGTCTTCAATATTTCTTTGTGTACATTTGGTGAATTTAATTATTTCAGATATAGACAAATTAGTTTCTACATGTTTGAGAAAGAAAGTGTTGAACCATCACTGGTATTAAAGCCAGGATCAATTAAGGGAAAGATCTTTTCGCATAATTACGAGATAATATATAATTATGAGATGTCATCTTTAGGAGATCAGGAAAGACATTAATTTAGGATTCAATTTTGAATTGAGAAAGCTTCCTGGAGAGGTGGCGAAACGTCTTCTAATCTTGAAAACCAAGTCCAGTGGATATTTTTTGAATTTTTACGGGATGACTATGACCTGGAATACAGAGAACCTTCATCAGCATTAATTTAGGATGTACGCTACATGAAACGTGAATAATAAGTAGGTTGTTGGATTTCATATGCTTTTATTTACTTTTAGGTATGCGACACTGGGAAATGGAAGTAGTTTTAGTTTGTCAGCATTGAGCAGGTACCTTAAGTCCTTAGGACTGTTTAGGCGAAAAAGCCTAAACTGACTTTCTGGGAGTTGCACTGCTCCTGCAGAATCAATTAAATCAGCACGGGATGCTTTATGGCTATAATTTAATGCATCTGAAATGCCAAATAACTGTCTGGTACCTTTTCAAAATCCTTTCTGAGTACATTCAGCATGACACCTCATCCTTTTTTACCCAAAACGGTTTCTAATATTAAAGAGCTTTCTGAACAAAACACAAAGATTTAAGTTTTCCAAAGGCAGAAGCATGTAGAAAAAAACTTTTTGTCTAGCTGAATAAAACATAAATTTTTCTAAAGGAAATACTCGTGCTCGTTGTCCTACATTTATCTGGGGGACTCAGCAGAGACTCCCAGACTGCCCCTGGGGCCTCGGATCACTGGGGCCCGGGACTGGATTCACTTCGGGGTGGGGCCGGGTGTTGTTCTGGGATTGTTGGTGCAGGTGCCGGTGCCTTCGCTTCGATGCCGATTCCTGGGCGGTGCTTTTTCCGATGCTGGTCTTGTGGTACCGGTTTGGAGGGGAGGGGAGCTGCACGGCATAATGAGGTGCGGGTCTTGGGTTTTGTTCTGGGCTCTGGTTTTTCCGCTTGCATTTCTCCTCTTGCTTAGGGGAATTTTATTTATTTTTTTTTTTATTTTTTTTTCTATTTTTTTTTATTTATATATATATATATGTATGTATGTATGTATATATATATGTATGTATGTATGTATATATATGTATGTATGTATGTATATATATATGTATGTATGTATATATATGTATGTATGTGTGTATATATATATATATATATATATATATATATATATATATATATATATATAGATAGATAGATAGATAGATATAGATATATATAGATCTATATATAGATATATATACATGAATTATTTATTATTTATTTATTTATTAATTTTTTTCTCCCGGTGGGGGGAGCGGTTGCGGGCAGGTCAGTGTCTGGTGTCTACTGTCGCATTGGGGGGGCTTTTCTGCTTGGCGTTCTTTTTCCGGGGGGGATTGGCATGTCTGTTCTCTCGGGGGGCGGCCCCGTTGGGTGGGGGTCCTGCTGGCGGCGCGCTGCTGGTGTGTGGGGGTCTGGGCGGCTCCAGCGGGGTTGGTGTTGGGGGGCTGGTGTGGATGGGCTGGCTGCGCTGATTGGGTCTTCGGGTGGGTTTTCCCGCTTGGAGGCATGGTGGAGCTGCTTTGGTCCCGCTGATCGCGGCGGGTGTGGCTGCGGGGTGGGTGGGGGTTGGAGTGGCTACGCCCGGCGCGCGTCGGGGGGGCGGGGCGGCGGAGGTGCTTCAGGGGCATGTTGGGGGCTTGTGCAGGTGGCGAGGGGGGGCGGCAGGCGCGGCTGTGCTGCTCTAGCTTGGTCCGGTGGGGAAGCGGCGTGGTTATTTTGGGGGTCGCGGCCGGTTCGCGGCGGATGCGCGTGGGCTCCGGCGGTGGGCGTGGCCGCCTGTGTGTTTTTCGGGGGTGGTGCGGTCGCGTTGGGTGTTGCGGCTGGTCGCCGGGGCTTGGTGCCGGGGGGCGGGGCGTGTTTCGGTGCTCTGTGGGGCCGGGGCGTTTCGGTCGGTGCCGTGGGGGGGCCGGTGTTCTTTGCCCGGCCCTACTTCAGGGTGGCCGCGGACTTGCCTCCGCGCTCCCCAGGGCGCTGGCATGGCTGGGGGGCTTCTTGGGGTCCGTCTCTCCTCCTCCCTTGGTGGGGGTCCGATTTCCGGGGCTGGCCCCTCCTTGGTGCCTTCGCTCTTGGGGTCCCTTTGGGCGCCTGGGGCTTTGGGTCTTCCGGCGCTGGATTCGGTGCTCTGGGGGGGTGCTTCTCCAGCTCTCCACAACCACTATTGAGTATTTTTTCTATGGATAAACTTTACATGCACAAGTGCACCCTCACAAACAATTACAGGTGCTAGGCTCCAGGTACTTAGAGATTCACTTCCAAACAGAAACCCCACATTCATATCTTCAGGTAACACAGAGTACATGTCAGACTTAATAATATTACTTTTGCGATAGTTTCAAGGTGTTGATTTATTGTATATCTCGTACCATGTCTTTCGGTTGTGCTGTTCTTTTTTCATCTCGTTACAGGTGATGAAGCAGACTGAAAATGTTTTGTCATTGTCTCCTTTCTCTTCTTTCTTTCATCTTTTCTCTTTCTTTTTTCCCTTTTGTTCTGTTTTTCTGCCCTATTTACATTGCAGTGTCCATATAAACTGTAAAACTCCCTGCATAATTATAATAAAGCAATTTGTATGCGTGAAACAAGTGGAGCTATATGGCAATTGCCATACTGCTACACTTGTGAAAGTAAAATCTGTTGGGCTCTTTTTGGCATCAAGACAATTATTCTTATTGCCACGTTGCCAGACAGGACACTGTAAAAAAAAAAAAAAAAAGAGACTCACAGACTTCACTCCCATCAGACACCTCCTCCAGCTCTGCTGGGAGAAGCCAGAGGCCCTTCTAGGCCACCAGAGAGACATAGTCCCTCCACAGAGTCCTGGGTCTCCTCCTGGTGGAACGTACCTGGAACATATCCTGCGGGAGGCGCCAGGGGGCATCAGAAAAAGATGTCTGAGCCACCCCAACTAACTCCTCTGGATGTGGAGGAGAAGCAGCTCTACTCTGAGCCTCTCCTGGATGACTGAGCTCCTCACCCTCTCTGTAAGGGAGAGCCCAGCCACCCTGCAGAGAAGTTCATTTCAGCCACATGGATCCAGATTCTCCTTCTTTGGGTCATGATCCAGATTTCATGACCATCGGTGAGGATAGGGGTGTGTAGCGTCTGCATTATAGCAGCGGCCGCACAAATCCATCTATCTAAATATTTAACTAACTCATTTACAGATCAGTCAGGAAATATGACTCCAATCATTCGTCTTTGGGCTGCTTTTCTTCCAAAGCAGTATCCAGTCTTCTCACTGGTCTCAGCTTGGCTCAAAATAACTGCTCTCTGTGATCCAGTATTCTGTCTTTTGTACTTTAAGGTACTCCATAATGTGGATTTTTCCTTTCTTTAAAGGAAAATTATTTTTAATACATTATAAGAATGTTTTTAACCTGCTCTCCAAGGCACACTGCCTGTTTTAGATCATTGCAAAAAGACAGTCAGTCCTCAACATCAGGTGTCTTTATTTCATGTTTCTGCTTCCACACACTTCCACACATGCAGTCAGTTTCTCCGTAGGCCTGCTTATTAACGACTTTGACCAATGTGTGTCAAGGCAGTGATGCATCTAAAAGGTGAAGGACACTGGCCCTCCAGGACTGGAGTGAATGGAACCCTGTATTTAACACATCTTATTTAGATGGTTGCAGGTTAGTTAAGCTGGTTAATTAGCCATAAATTGAAATTAGGTGCCCAGAAACGTAGAAACCCCTTAAAATACAGCAATGATCAGCAGAACAATAATTTACTTTAATTATCTGAACTGAACCTTCTTGCTCTTCTCCTTGGATGTTCCAGAGCAGAACTTTTTGTTCTGTAATCAGTATATTTAGGTGCATAACAGATTTAATCATTTAGGCTTTTATACATGCATTAACAGAATTAATATAGTTAAAGGTATAGTGGAGGATTCTCTTTTTCCAGGTGGATCATCTAAATAAGTTGTCCTCCTAATTGTCAATCATTCTGGTGATATGTTTATGTAAGGCCGTCCTACACACTGGTCCCCATTTTCACTTACTGGAGGTGAGTTTGACATAGTGGAAAAATGGCAAATCTTGTTTTGGATTTAAGCTTCTATGAGCGATGCAAACAAACTTTTAAACAGAGCGTGCACAAAGAGAAATGGGCTCCTGCATACTCTCGCACACGTTTAATAGGGGTTCCCTCTTGGGAACGGGGACAGGGTTGTGCATGTGCATTTTTTAAGTGAAAAGGGTTGGTCTTTTAAAAAAAATCCCAAAACAATCCTCCACTATACCTTTAATAGGCTATGCAAAATTGTACATACATTTTTACTGCATATATGCGTTAGACTGTTCACTGCTTTAACATCTGCAGACATTTCAATTGTTGAAACACCAATAATTGTTAATACACTTCAGATTTAATAGCTACATGACTTTAAAACAGTGTAGAGTAAGTTTCTGCATTAGGC